CCCGTGCGTTGGCCAATTATTTATTTTCAGTTATAATTTGCGGAAGAGAAGAAGTATGAGCAATGAGATTGCGGTAAAAAAACTACTGTCAACTATTTCGGCATCTGTGACAGAAGAGGTAAATGATGTTTAGTATAAGATCGTCTTCCTTGTTCTGCAGGCCTTAACTTTTGCTTTTACCAACTCGTACTTTTACTAATTTCCATGGAACTAATTTTCGTCGTACTTATGAGATCCAGTTGTGGTAATGGTAAGAAATGTGTGCGAATTAATGGACCGAAACATTTCTTGCCGTTATAATAATTTAATATATTTTACAACTTTTGCTAATTTCTTAGTATTATTTGCTTTTGTCTTCTTCCAACTTTTTCAAAAATTTCTTCCAAATTTCTTCCAAATAATTTCTTCCAAAATATTTTCCTGTTTCAAATTCATTCTTCAGGTGCGGTTTTTTGAAGACTGCAGCAGTATGTTTGTCAGTGTCCGCAAGTGCGAAAGAAAAAGCGAAGGTTTGTTTGTTGTGTTAATAGGTTCCTCCATTTTTCTGTTCCCAATTTTTTCCCTTTCTAATATATATTGAGTACATATGATTGGCATTAGTTGGAGATTTGCCAGCCCGGGACTGTTAGGCGAAACAGTTTCGCTCGGTACATGGGCCAGGCGGTATTTGCGGTTTTTTGTGCGTTTTTCTGTGCAGCGCTGTAGCATTGCTACAGTCAGCAAAAATGCATATTGTCGAGAGGCCGCCTGTGTGTGTGTGTTCGGAAAGCGAGTGCGTTTTGTCACCCACTTTCATCTCAGCAACCAGGAAAGCTGGGAGGCTGAAATTTTGGATATATGTTCCTACCCCGTGTGCCATCCTCCTGTTTTAAGATCTTTCCCCATACGCGCCTAGACCCCGCTTACGAAACCCCCAAAGAAATATGTTGGCGTGAAACGATTTCGCGAACCAGGCAACGTAGAAAGCTGAAACTTTGCAAGGATATTCTCTGTGCACGTGCGAGGTAAGAATTTTAAACTGAGCTCTCTAGCTCTGTTGGAGAGCTAGAGAGCACAGCCTCAAACAGCTCCTCAACCCAAAAATCGCTCGCAACTCGGACCTTAACCGCAATCATATATGTAAATGAACGTGGATTTTTTGACAAACAACCGCTTGAGCAACACTGGAAATTTGCATTTTTTCAAAAAATTTGCATTTTTCATTTTTCACAAAGCGAGCATTTGCCGAAAAAACGACCGGACTTCATGCAAAAAACCGATAATCATGCACCTGCATGTCCGTGCGGTTCTTCAATGCACCACCTTCATTCCAACTGACGCCCTCCCTCGTGCATGCGGGAAGGGGTCAAAGCACGGCAAGTATGAGCCCAAGTGTTAGGCTACAGTGTAGGGATCATTCTTGCTAACAGCGATCTGCGAGCTTAGTGCAAAAAGCGCATAATCGCCTGGGTTAATCACATTGTTCAAATCATTCTATTATGTTGATGGTAAGAAATATATACGACTTAATGGACCGAAACGTTTTTTATCATTAAATTAATTCGTGTAATTTACAAATTTTATAATTCTCATCTTCTACCTTTTTTATTCTTCGTCTTCTTTCATCCTTTGTTAATACACTAATTTTTTTTATTCCATTCCATTAATATGGCAGTTTCCTGTTCGCAGTGCTTTTTTTTTCCCAATTTTGCTTCCTTTTTTAGCTGGAAAATCACGAGGAGCAGTAACTGGTAAAATTGCAAATGGAAACGGAAGTGAGCAGCAGCAGGTGGGTTCCGGTGGAGAAACTGTTGGAGCTGAAGTTGCTGAAAAAAGCACAGTCGAAAACGAAAGTGAACAGCAGCAGGTAGATTCCGGTGGAAAAGCTGAAGATCCCGGTGGAGAAACTGTTGGAGCTGAAGTTGCTGAAAAAAGCACAGGCGAAATCGGAAGTGAGCAGCAGCAGCTGGTGGATTCCGGTGGAGAAACTAGTGGAATCGAAGTTGAGCAAAGGGAAGATGTTGTTTGCGCAGTTGAACAGGAACTGGAGAAAAGTATTGCTG